CGACGGCGTGTCTCAGCAGGCTGCTGCACTCGCAAGCGCTCTGCGGTCGTGCAGCAAAGTGCATGTTACTGCATGTGACGTGCAAGTCAAGCAAGAACAGCAGGCAGGCAAGCAAGCAAAGCAAAAGCCGCCAGCAGCCATTCGAACAAGGCGGCATTCACGATTCGAGATTGTGATTGACTGCGCCCGCCTGAGAACCAGAATCGTGAATCACGAACCAAACGTTGGCCCGCACGCATGCTGGGGGCGTGATTTTGGCGCTAAACAACAGTCACGGCCACGGTGCTGCCCACGAGTCTTTTGCGGCGGCCATATATCAGCACAGTTCCAGGCCTTGTCAACAGTCAAGTGTCAAATGCAGCAGCAGACCCGCCTTACTCCGCACGCTTCAACGGCTCTCTGTAGCTTTTGTCTGCTTCAACCGACTGCTGCAAGTCGATCCGTAGCCTGAACTGTTGTGAGTCAGCCAGCTACCGGAAAGACGCGCCACAGACGCACGCCTACCGACATTGGTTAGCCCTCGTGCGAGTCTCTATCAAAGAGCGATCTCAAAGCAGGACTCGAGAGTTGCTGATCTCCTTCCACACCTCCGTCACACTTCGTCATCCATACCTCGCCGTCACTCGTCTCTGCACTCGCGTACGTTCTGTGCGCCAAGCTTGTCTAAAGACTCTTTCTCTCTTCAGGCACTTGTCTCTGCCTCGCCGGCGCTATCTGCCTCCTCGCGTCTTTCCTCCTCTTTCAAAGGGAAACTGGACGTACCCATTGGCTGGCATCACTTTGCTCAGCGACGACAACCTGCTTCGAGTCGGCGATCGCGAGTCTAGTACCCATATCAGTAGAGGTGCTTCATCATGGGTGGTTGTCTGTCATCACCGGCTCATGCCTCCTTGGCGAGCACGGCGGGCGACTCAGCGCCGGAGACGGTCAAGTCCAAGGCTTTGGACAGGCAGCTGAGGGAGGATGAGAAGCACATGTCGAGAGAGGTCAAGCTTTTGTTGCTAGGTGAGTAATGAGGCGACCTTTGGCCAATGATACACCTGGCTCGCGCGTGGTATCACAAGCAGGTGTGGGCGACAGCTCGGCGGAACGCACCACATTTGGCTGGGTAGTGGAGTGATGGAGGCGCAAACCACCTTCCACACGCTGGCTTGCAAGCTCGATAGCTTTGCAAGAGTCCAAATTGGTGCGCGCAGCAGCCGTCATCAAGTGAAGCTGCAGAAGGTGGCGCTTGCCGACGAGGATAGGGTGTGCAGCTCACTCACGCCTTGATCCCACCCATTCTCGCGGACCAGGTGCGGGCGAAAGTGGCAAATCAACAATTTTGAAGGTGAGAGCGACATGAGAGGCTCAGCTCGAAGCGCATCCCTCACACATGAATCTGACGTCATGATCTTTGACTGCAGTCCATGCGCTTGATCCACTCCATACCGTTCACGGGTGCGGAAAAGGAGCACTATAGGAGGTTGGTATTTGTGAATCTGGTACAGGGAATGAAGCTGCTACTCGATATGTTGGAAGAATGGGAAGGGACGTTCGAGCATCCTTCGCATGTAGTAAGTGTTCTCGCGCTCGATGAGCCCTCGGACGTTTGTCATGCGGACGGGAGGAGGCTTGCTGACCTAGCATCGTGCTACCGGGCGCTGTAGAACCTGTTGCCCCTCTTTATCACATATCCGGATATCGCGGAGGACGAGCCCTTTCCTGCATCATATTTCGAGCCTTTGAGGCTACTGTGGAACGACTCTGGTATTCAATCCGTCTTTAAGCGAGGAAACGAGGCTGCGGTGCCCGAAAAGTGGGTCGCACGAGCACGAGCACGAGCACGAGCACGTGGAGTGATTATGATTGGCTGACAGAATCTGATCTCTCTTGGTGATCGTCTTTACAGCATGTCATAGTGAGTAGTCAGGGTGATTGGCACCGCGGGGGAGGCGCGCTCAGACTGATCCCGCTGCCATTTTCCCAGCTTCTTTGCCGACCTCGATCGACTTTTCAACCCCTCTTATATCCCGACTGATTCTGACATCCTGCGGTGTAGAAACAAGACGACGGGAATAATCGAGACTACCTTCCCAATCGATGACCGAGTGTACCGGTAAGTGGTCGTTGACGTACCTGCTAGTACTTTGTGCTCATGCTGTTCTTACACTACATGGTACGCAGAATCTTGGACGTCGGCGGACAGAGGTCTGAAAGGAAGAAATGGATTCACTGTTTCGAGAATGTCACGGCCGTCCTCTTCATCGTTTCCTTGAGCGGCTATGACAGCTGTCTGGTCGAGGATAGAGATAGCAATCAGATGCAAGAATCTTTGATGCTTTGCGATTCAATCTTCAACTCCAAAGTGAGTGCGACGGGCTAGACCGCCTTGTAGCTCCTAAGCTGATAAAGAGGTCGCAACGCACCTCTCAGTGGTTTGTCCGCACATCCATGGTGAGTCAAGCTCTCGTAAGAGTCGCATCGCCGCACTTAGGGCTCACGAAATATTGGGCCCCCCTCAGATTCTCTTCCTCAATAAGGTGGACGTCTTCCGGACGAAGATTATGCACTCAAGCATCAAGGCATATTTCCCAGATTACGATGGTGAGTCTTCAGTCAGCACTGTGGCACGGATCTGGCCGAAAGCCGTATCACGGTGCTGAGACCCAATTCCTTGCAAACTCGCTCTAGGCGACGATCAAGACTTCAATGCCGCTCGCGGCTATTTCAAGCAGCGATTCTGCAGACTGAACAGAAGCCAGACAAAGGAGATCTACCCTTCATTCACAAATGCGACCGATCCTGGGTTGCTCAAGATCGTCATGGCGTCGGTCACAGATATCATCCTTACCAGCAGTCTTCGAGAAAGTGAGTATAGCGCGAACTGCGCCAAATCAGGAAGAGGCCTGTGCGCCTCGAGTTGCGTGCTGACAATTGTTCTCCTACATGGTGGGCCACCCGGCCATTTTCTCTGATAGACATGTTCTGAGGCGTGCTCTTGCCGTACCCTTGCCTGCTGCCCATCTCGGCTTTGCCCATGCTGCTCCGCGCGCCCCCAGGTCCTGCAAAGACACGCATCCTTCACAGCTCCAAGTTTGGCATACTCCGCCCTTCAAATGCAAGCGCTCTGACTTCCCTCTGCCCCTGCGCCTAATTCGGCTCCTGAAGCTGTCCCCTTCCTGCTTCGCTGCTTTGTAATGTATCCGAAAGACTCGATTTGTTGTCCATACAATACCTTAGACGGGAGGGATGGCGCGACAGCGGTCTGCAGCATCCTGGGCTGAGATTAGAGGCGCTAATTGAGTATCTCAAGCGTTGAGTCCGCCCTTGACTGAGAGCACAGGCCCCGCACGACTCACGTTCATGCGCACGCCACCACGCAAACGACGTGCTGGCGAACGCGGTCACACCTTGAATTTGGCGGCCCCCGCCTCGGACTTGTGACGTGACGCGACGCGACGCGTCGAACGCGTCCGTTATTGAACGGGAAGATGCGCACTCAAGACTAGCTCCGCCTCAAAATTGGCTTGATCACGATCAGGAGGTGAAGGGGTCTTCCTAGACATCTCTCGACCCTGTGCGTCGCGCCGCTTCTACACACTATGCACACCACCGTGTATGCCCTTGTCAACCTTCCTCCCACCAGCATCGCGTGGTCACTAAACGTAGCTTGGCGAACTCTTTGCATCCGACCTCAGCAGCGTCATGGCCAAAGACGCCGCCGCTCCTCGCCGGGCGACGGCTGCTCGTTCGTCCCGAAATGGCTTTGTCAACTCCTCCACAACATCACAGCGAAGAACTAAAGCTGTTCAAGCTGCCAGCAAGCGCTCAATTGGTACCCCTTCCTCGAGTAGCGAAAGCGAGCTCTCTTACAATTCCCGGGACAACGAGGACGATTATGGTCAATCGCGCTCGGAAGCATCTGCTGGTCCTTTTGTGGCCTCAAGCCCATTGATCACCCGCACGGTGAAGTTGCGTCCTGCACGAACGCGAGAGAGCGAGCAAGTCACCCAATCGTCTCCCATTACCTACGCCTCCTCGTTCAGACAGCCATCTGCTCCTGTCCGACGCGGTTACGGCAAGGGCATGACGACTGGTATTCGTCGATTTAGGGCGCTGGGGGCATCAGTCGGCAGCGACTTTGGCCTCCCGTCGAGAGTCTGGGATCCGAGTCCAGAGCGCGAGGTGGCGCCTATGACTCAGACGTACGACGACAGCGATTTGAGCGAAGTTGACGAACCAGCACCGATGGGCTCAGCAGGGCAGGACTCGTCGGGTGAGACTGGCAGAGTGTTGCAGGACGACGAGGACGACGACGAAAAAGAGAGAGCCGTGGAGTGGACGCGAAGCAGCGAATCTGCGTCTGAGGCGCACGCCCATTCGCCCTTCTCCGAGTCGTCTCGGGGCTCCCCTTCCATCTTCGACTCGGCAAGCCGCATTGCTCTAGGCTCCGAGTCTGCTCTTACTCCTTGCACGTCTCCACTGCTCAACGATACCGCCATCACAGACATTCCAAAGCTCCCTGCCAAGGTCCTAGGTCGCCTCAGTCCTTCGACATTGCGTCTGCTTCGAGCAGCCGCTGATGGCAAGGATGTAACGTCTCTCAACGACGAAGAGCTTATCATTGAGGAAGCTCTTGCGCCTTGGTCGTACAACTCGGACCAGCAGCAACCCCTGAGCTCTTCGCCTTGCTCCGTCTCAAGAAGGACTGCAGCACGCGTACCTCGCAGCCTTCGTGAGTCTGGGGTAGCTGGCCCGCGGGGCCAAACCTTCAGCGATGGATCAAGCTCGTCCAGCAGCTCCACCAGTCGTGCTCTGCTCAATCGTGGTTTGCAAGGCTCCGCCACTCCACCGAGCCAAAGAAGCTTGCCAGCCTTGCCCGCCAGGCCAGCCAGTGCCATGAAACCTACTCCCAAGTCAGACTACTCTTCCGGACGAGAACCCTTTGTGAGACTGGACTTGACGGCAGAAAGACTGCCAGCAAAGCAAGCGATCCGCTTCTCGGTCCCCAAAAGCACCTCTGGAGGTATCGGGGCGGAGGACGATGATGACGAACCCTCTCCCTTTGAGGCATCAGAACATGCGGACATCCTCACTGCCCCTGTCGCATCTGGACGACGCGAGGTGTCCAAGCCTTCGAAAGCTACGCGCTCGAGCCGCGGAAGGACGCTTAAGCGGACAGAGCCAGCTTCTCCAGTTCCGTTGAGCCTGCGCCAGGCAAAGAAGAAGCAGGCAATCTCGGCATCTCAGCCAGCACGATCAAGGCGAGCAAGCGAGGCGAGCAACGTTTCGAGCAGCCCATCAGCGGCGCGCCAGCACCAGAGCAAGCATGTCAACAAGACCTACTCGCTGTCCACCAGACTCGGCTTGCCAAAGAAGAGCTTTTACGCGCGCAACAAGCGCGAAGAGACGAGTCCGACGCCCGAGGGACGAGTTCCGGATCTGCAGTACAGCAGAGTGCCTGTTAGCAGCAAGGTCCGCTGAATTGTGGAGATGGCTTCACGCCTGTCCCGCCTGTAGAATGACCATACCGGGCGATCGCTGCCCTTTTAGCCACATTGTACCATCACCATCACTCTAGCTGAGCTTCCCCTGCACATCTCTCGCTGAACACAAGGAGTGCTACTCGGCACCAGCGCGAGCGCCTGTCAGCTGGCTTTTCAATCCATATCGCGTTAGCTTGTCGTTGAAGCGGTGCGTAGCAACGCAAGCCAGTGAGTGCGTCACGCTCGCTGCACACGTCCTCGTCCTCAGCAGCAGGTGAGCGCGGGAAAGGAAAAGAGGCGATCGTCTTGCCCGATGGCCTGGTAAGGGCGACAGGATGGGACGTGTGTGTATTTGCTTAGAAATCCGACTGTACACTCAGCCGTGGATATTCGAATTCCGAGCTCGACG